ATTTAAATTTAAAGATAATTGAATGTTAATTTACCTCCTGAAGTTTCTGTATATGTTTAATGAAGTATTCACAGATCCTCCGAGCAACTTTTGTGTCCGCTATTACTATCATATCCTAAAATTCGCCAAAACACATTTTAAAAGAGACTAATTTTTGACTCTTATTATTAACAGCTATCAAGAAAGTGTACCCTATCAACATAAAAGTCAAGGTCTGTAGTAGAGTCATCAATTTCGCCACGATCTGCTGATTCTTTGCCCAGTTCATTGACGATCATTTTAAATGTTAACAATTTCCCAACGAATGTGTCATACTCCGAATCTGAAAAATAGAAAAAAATATTGGAAATTGCAGAAGAAATACTGATATGATCGTCATTCACATCCATAAAAACAGCATGACTACCAATATTCACTTTGTGAAATAACGTCAAAAGTCGCAGAAATTCACTTAAATTTGCTGGGTAAAAGTTATTAAGGTCTCAAAATTCACCTAAAACGTCCATAAAGCTCGCTAACTTCTTTGTTGGAAGCGTTGTGTAAAGTTTCAAATAGCCTCGTAATATAGGAAGCATTATCTGAGACTCAATACCTTCCAGAAAAGCATTACACTGTCGAATTAAAGGCTCCTAAAACAAGTCTGGAGAAAGACAAAAGCCAAACCAATTTCGTCTAAAACCTCCTCACTTGCAGTAATTTTTTTTAGAAGAAAATGGAAAGACAGAAAAAATAATTCTATTTCACGGTCCATAATTTACTTTACTTACTTTGGCTTGATTTAACCCCTCGTAAACCACTGTTGTGGGCGATAAGAACTTTGGACACCCTTGTTGAAATGCCAGTCGGAACTCATCAATATCACTAGAACCATTCATTGCTTATTTGAATATTAATTTAATAACTTCACGCGTCTCAAACACTGCCACTCCAAAAAAGACATTCATATCTCAAAGCAGCAACGCGAATATGCAACAAAACTGCCGAAACAACACAAAACAACAAAAAACTCTTTCCTACAAAAGGACGGACTCCTGTTCCAACTTGGAAACTGCTATTTCATTTAAATAATTGTGAGGAACTTAAACTGTCAAATTAACAATTGAAAAATCAACGCAAAATTGATCAAAAAAAAAAA